AAAAACCAATTGAAAATAACAGGATAAATAGAAATGATAAGTCTTAACATCAGTCTCAAAGTTAAAAAAATAAGTGAACTAATGATCCAAAGTATACCCAGCCCCTACACTAATATTTACCTTATCGTCGCGCGGTTGAGGAACAGCAACAAATATCCTATTCAGCACGCCAGCATTCTCTGCACTGAGCTTCTTTGACAATAATTTGCTTTCTACCCTCTGAGTGAGCAGCTCATCACAAGCCTAAATAACCTAAGACAGCTACCTATATTCACCACATAGCTCAGCAATAAAGATCAAAACCGAAACATCTGTTAAAACAATACTTCTCACAAATTACCTTGTTCCGGAACTCCATAATCCCTTCCTGAGTAATGGTACTCATTTCAAAGACAGAGAGAGACTCTTCTTCCAACTTTGCAATCAAAGCCGCTTTCTCAGCAGCTAGTTCAGACCTTTTACAGACATCAGTTTTATTTAGGCCAATTAGAATTGGTTTGTTAGCAAATAGAGGCTTTATATTTTGGAATAAAGAAATCTGTTCTTCCACAGTATGATCACACATTTCACTAATGTCCATAATGAAAAGAATTGCAGCTCGCAGATGAGCCAATGCTGTTACAGCTTGCATTTCTATAGTGTTTCTCTCCTCCAGTGGAGAATCAAGGATACCAGGGGTATCAATTACCTTAAAAATAAAAATAGTTCTAAAAAAATAGATATTCGAAGCAGCAACAACTAATAAAGTTAGGAAACAATGAATGACTCGACGCATTTTTTGCGCACAACAGCAGTCAGTGCAATTTATACTTCAGCATCAAAAAGTTAATTTTACAAACAAAAACTAAAGTAAAAAACACAGGAAAACTTAAATTATGAAGCACAGATATATGAAAACACAAACCTGCCATCTAAGATACTTGTAATCTAAGTGACCAACATATAAGGCCTTAGTGGTAAAGGCATACGGTTGAACTTCAACGTCTGCCCGAGTGAGTTTATTCATCAACGAAGACTTCCCCACGTTAGGAAACCCGCAAAGTATTAATGTCCTAGATTAATAAATATTTTGTTGGATAAAAACCTATATATGA